AGTCCGGGACTGAAACTGCCAGTATGGTCATACTCCTTCATGCGAGCATACCAAAGAGTTTACGGATGCAATCGATCTAATGACAAATTATTGTATTCTATATTCTATATTATTATTATAATATTATAAGGGCGGTAAGGAAGAGAACGGTAAATCAAACAAGTGAAGGCAAAGATGATTACAAACGATATGGAAGATGAATTTGTAAGCAGAAAGACAGTAACAATACGTAGGGGCTGTCCAGTAGAATGTCTGTTTACAGCAATGAAATAACAGGTAGTATCCTGTTTCTCGTTACAGTTAGGCCTCAAAATGACTGGCGTTCTCCGATAATGAAGTCTAAACCAAAATGTACTGGCAAATCTAGCCAGCTCAGCGTGGGCTGGTTAATGCAGTGGTAACACACTGTAGTAGTTGAAGTAAGCGGAGATCACGGACTATGAATCAGATATTAAGAATCACGGACATCACAGAAACACTGAATCACAATGGCACTTGCACGACGGTAAATCACGTAACTGAAACTCGAAGAAAAGGCTACAGGAGTAGTAGTTCGTTTAATGGAATAAATCAAAGGGATTAAATAACATGTAAAAAAGAAGTTTATTGGTTATCCAGGCATCAATCAATCACATGCTCGTATTCTTGGCGTCGTTTCTATTTGGGCCGCACGGCCTCGGATTGGTTGGCACAATCGGCCTATGGTTCGTTGTCCAGAAGCTGTGCCCGTAGGCACTTTGTTAGCGTCATCTGGGGAATTTGACTCACCATAGATGTCCAGAAACTGTAAGATGTCGCCCAGGGGTTTGCGTCACTCCGTAAGCCAGGATCACGGTACACACGCCTTCCATGCGATGGGTTTGGAGTTTATAGCCCACACACGATAGTGAATATGCACACTAGTGATGCACTCTAATGAGAGTGAAACCCAGGTCCAGCACTTCCCAAATGAACGGTTGCTTGGATTAACCGAAGATTGCGCGAGGAAATGAAGTTTGAATGATGATCACTTCAAATCAATATCTGTTATCCACACCCTGGTTGGATCCCATTTGAGTATGTAAATAGTCACGTAGTGAAAAGTGAACAGTGGTACGTTTGTTTGCATTATGTACTCATGTGGTGGTGGCGCAGTGGTTTAATAGCTGTCACTGGCGTGTTTCGGACCCTGTGGTTCGAGGTACGAGCCCCTCCACCGCCACCCAAGTTTGGTGATAGACAGCTTTGTTATCACCCGGTTCAATACCACACCTGCCCTAGCGTGGCCTTATGTGGTTCGCCAAACTAATTCCCGGGGCTTAGGATACCGGTTACCATCACTGAACATCAAGTCTTCGTGACTTTCGATTTCCATTCCGTCTGGTGTCCATCACACACCGGTGTGTAATAAAAAATATGTGACCGACCTGTTGGCCAGCGGGCAAGCAAGAACGCACAGCACGAAGGTACGTAAGCAGGCAGACCGACAACTGGCTCGAGCGTCACAAGACATCCAAATTCGGGAAAGCAGGCACTCAAATAACCAACGAAACAATCAACGGTGAAAGTCCAATAGTAACATCTGATTGGCTGGAACCGAGCAATACTGTAATCGAGCTAGTCCGTATGACTTACGTGCGTGTGTGTGTGTGTGTGTGTGTGATAGCAGGCAGTACCAAGTAGTC